AAAAAAAAAAAAAAAAAGAGGAAACTTAGGTGAGATAGTAATTTAAAACTTTTATTTCACAAAAATAAATCACCTGGCATCCAGTGTTTATATTTACTTACAAGAAATGCTACAGTCCCGTTACGAAACTATTCCGTCAGAATTTGTAACATTAGACCATTATGTAACCGTCGTAGATAGTTGATTTAACGATAACAAACCCCGACAAAATGGTTCCGTAACGGGACCGTAGCATCTCCCTTTTACCTTTAGGCATGCATGGTTGGGCACAAAGCTATGAATGGCAAGAAAACATATTTTAGAAGCAAGTCTACTACTAATCCTGTAAGCTCGCCACAACATGAATATCCTCAACTTCCTACAGATCTCATATCAAACTTCATCTCTCTATTTAGGCTGAAATATTCCAACTCAAGGAGAAAAAAATAGTTCCCAAATTCCCCGTTGAAAGCATCTTAAATAAAGCTCCATACCCCTGGAAAGAGCAGAAATACACAACCAAATACAAGTATAACGGTTTTTTAATCTATTACCAAACATCGTATAGCCCGTTAATTTTGAAGTCCCAAAATTTAATACAGCTCCACATTCTCAATTCAGCCAGAGCTTCGGGCCCACCAGTTCATGTTGTGCAGCAGAACCCTGGTTCGCGATCTTCCGAATGCGTGATGAGAATTCTTCAGCCTAAAAAGAAGCACATGTTAGCAATATGAGCTAATCCAACACACACAAATCCGCAAAATTTGAGACATCTTCAATTACTTGGGTGAAAACAAGGCACCTGAAGTTTGAAGCACTAGAGAAACAAAACGTAGTACAAGAAGGACAGGTTATCATTTCCAGTCTATAACTTCGTGGACTTGATTGGTGCATTTGACCAGAGTGAAAAAATAAAAAACCAAGCGAAGAATAATTTAAAGAGTTTTGGAATTTAACCTTCTCATCAATCCACATCAATGAACTCAATTGATTGTTCAATATTCGGACAACAGCATCGAGTGGAGTCATTCCATCAGTTGCCTCGAGCTCTCCGCCCTAGTTTCATAAGTATTTGAGAAATTATAACTCCTAATCTCATTTTATGGAAAACTATAAATAAAACTTAAAAGTTACGAAAAAATTGGCAGTTACCTGATTGGCATTCAGAGCATTGATAATAGATTTAATTTGTTCTGTCATGTGTTCAAGCTCCCGCTCTACCACTTCAGCCTGCTCATACCTGAAGTAAGAAATAAGAAAGAAATGTTAAATGGAGCAACTAGCTTGCATCATTGCACAAAACCCATCAATGGGCAACAAATCCAAAAGTTCAAATAGCATGAAAAGAAATTTATGCATCATTCTCAAGGCTAGGCCTTTAGAATCTTTAAAGGGAATATGATTTAGCACTTTGTTATACACACACCAAAACCATTGTGCCCACCATAGTATCCAACATGCTTAATTGAAAAAATAAAGCATAATGACATTCTCGAAGAGACAATGACAAGAGATCGCAAGAACCAAAAGGACAAAGGAAATATACACATATATAGGGTATGTATGTGCATGTGTGTAAATAATATGTAGCCTTTGCTTACATAGCATCCCTCGTGGATGCAGCATCATCGTCGAGAAGCAATCCACGCTCGTCTCGGTACATTCTCTCAGCTTCTTCCTCCATACTCTGCAAGGCCTTGTCTACCTAATTAACACGTGAAACACAACAAAAGCTGTAGATTTAACTCATTCAGGATATTACAACAAGCATACTGAAGAATATATGAACTGTTTGAGACATAATGGGAAGTACAGACTAGTGGCTCAAAGGTTGTTCAGTTGTTCCAAACACATAAGCACAAAAATGGAAACAAGATGGCAATAATGACATCAGTAAACTACCTCGTCCTGATGAGTTTCAATTAGCTCTAGCTGCCGCTCCAAACTACCTTGCGTCTCAACCACTTTCGCAACCTCAGTCTGTGGAAAATGTACCAAGTGTGGGAACCAACAGTTAACAATTCCCAAGGGCAGACCATCATTTCAGTATCATTAAGCAATTTTTTTTTTTTTTTTTTTTTTGCCGAAACAATAGAGCCATTAGCATTTAAACTTGAAACATATAAATATATGATCAAATTATCAAAAATTTGTATTATAAAATGATGAGTTAAAAAATATTATTTTTTTCCATCTGTTGTAGTAAATCAACTATTTTTGTATGAAGGAAAAATGTGCAATTTCATTGGACGCATTAACTAAAAAGAAAATTATATGCTTCCTGCCGTGATAACTGGTAATTACTGAATACCTCAAGCTTGAGAAGGATATCACGATTCTGAAGAATCCTTCGGTCCCACTCGGCAATAGCATTAGCCTGTTTTCTAAACTTGCCAGTGCGCTCCTGTAGTTCAGTATTCCATTCCTTTATGATCTACAAAAACAAAATAAAGTACAAATCATCATAAAAATGGCAAGGCAGAAGCAAACCGGCTATGTTTAGCATATTGTAAATGCACAAACCAGTAATTTACAGGACAAAAATGACCACGTAATTTTTGTTCTGGCAGTAAATATAAATTTAATCTTTACGAGAACTTCATTTACCTCCTCAACTGTTTTCCCTGTAATTTCAGATGGTAACTTGGGTGCAGAGGCTAAAGCTGCATTTGTTGAAGTAGTCCTGCAGATCCAGTTAAAAAAGATAAAAACTCAGGACATCAATACTTTCGGGATTGAGATAACCTTATGTTATGGAGGTATACAGACCCACTGCTTGAAGCCACAACCAAAGCAGATGATGTTTGAGCAGCAGAACTGCTACTTGAGCTCGTTGTAGCTGTTGTACCCCCAGTTACCCCTGGAACAAGTAATACATCAAATTGCCGAATAAGGGAGGTATCGAAAGAAAAGATCTTCAGATTAAAATGTAGGAGGAAACAACAAAAGAGCAAGGTTACTCATCTCATCATTGGACAAAAACCTAATTGAAAATAACTTGAGAAACACATTCTGATAGAAAAAATCGTGTTATACACTTAAGCAGCTCAACAATATCCTCTTTAACAAGCACCCAAATAATATCTTCTTTACTGATTCAGATTATGAACAACAATTAAATAACAACAAGCACAAAAGCTAGCTATGAGAGTTAACAACAAGTTGCAGGATTTAACTTGTCTGCATCTGTACCCTACCAAACTGCTGCTTCGAACTGACAAATGATGCCAACAACATGTATTAACAAAAGTATATAAGAATGAAATGGGATGATGATGATGATGTTAGAGTTTCCACTGCGAAAAAAATATAACTCCGAGTACAAACACAAAAGTCGCACATATGCAGTACATTTATTCAATTATTTCAACAATGAAGGCCAATAAACTCAACCCTACTTTAAAAACAGTGCAGATAAAAGTAATGTACAGTAGCTCTTGAAAGCATACAAAAGAAATAGGAACAACTGAGCAGATTCAAAGAAAGAAAAACATTACCAAACGAGGGGACCGCAGCAGTTAATTGGGCTTGCGAAGAAGATGCTGCACCAGGTGTGGGTGTTTTCAAGGACAGTGAGAAAGAACTAGTGCTTCCAGCAGCTGATGCAGCTGCATTACTTGTACCAAAACCAGTAAAACTCAAAGATGGAGTAGATGTATTGGTTATTGATCCTGCAGTCACTGTAGAAGAGGTGGTTCCACTGGATGTTGGAAAGGCCAAACCAGATATAACACTGGCACCAGAAGCACTCGATGAAGCTGGAGCTGAGGCATTGGCAGTTGTAGTAGTTGTAACTGTCGAAAACAGAGAAGAAGGGGTGGTGGTACCAAATGTAGCCGGTTTTGAAGCAGCCGGGCTGGAAAAGGAGGACGACAAAGCAGATGATGAAGCCCCAGACACCCCGAACAAAGAACCAGGTGAAGAAAGTGAAGTAACTGCTGCTGATGACGAGGCTGCAGAATCGGAGGTGCTCTTCAAGAATGAAAAATCAGAAGTACTGCTAGAGCTAGGAGCCGAAGAAAGTGAAAAGGAGGGAGTGGAAGATGCTAATGCAGATGCCGATGAAGCTGAAGTTGAGGCACTTGGGAATGAGAACCCGGATGCCGATGAAGCTGAAGTTGATGCACTTGGGAATGAGAACCCGGATGCCGACGAAGCTGAAATTGAGGCACTTGGGAACGAGAACCCGGATGCTGATGAAGCTGAACTCGATGATACACCAAAAGCTGGGACAGATGAAGATGTTCCGAACAATGAGGATGACCCAAATAGACCCTGAGTAGAACCAGGACTTGCTCCAAACAATGATGGTGTAGTGCTAGCAGTAGTCGTCTGGTTTGAGGCTGCCGAGGATCCAAATATGCCTGCAGTCGGAGCAGCACCCGACCCAAATAAGGATGCACTGGCTTGGGTGGCAGTCGGAGCAGCACCCGACCCAAATGATGATCCAAATACACCTGTGTTCGGAGCTGAACCTGATCCAAATAGAGGTGCAGTGGTAGTTGGAGTAGCTGCTGTTGAGGTTAATCCAAATGGACTGGACCCAAATAGAGGTGTGCTGGCACTGGTGGTTGAAGGAGCAGCTGACAATGCACCAAATGGGCTTGATGTTGGTGTGCTCGACCCAAATAGGTTTGAAGATCCTGGAGCAGGGGTTCCGAATAATGTTGATGTGCCGAATGGAGATGAAGAAGGCAAGGGGGACGAAGGAGCGGCTGCAGAAGTGTTGCCAAAGAAGCTGGTCGTCTGTCCTGCACCTGAAGAAGATGAACTGAAAAGGCTAGATGTGGGAGCTCCACCAGACGACCCGAAAAGGCTTGGAGACGGGGCTGGAGCCGACCCAGATCCAAGTAAACTAGTTGCGGACGCAGGGGACGGTGAGGATCCCAACATGCTCGGAGCTGGGGCCGCAGCAGAAGTAGATCCGAATATGTTCGAGGAGGGGGCGGCGCCCGAGGCTGCTGAGGACCCAAATATAGACGGGGCGCCGAAAGGAGACGAGACCGCGGACGGCGTTGCCGAGGACGAACCAAAGAGAGAGGAGCCGCCGAACGAAAATGAGTTAGGGGACGGCGCCGCTGCGGCGGAAGATGACGAGCCGAAGAGTGAGGAGCCGCCGAATGGGGCGGGGGCGGGGGCGGGGGCGGAAGGCGTCGTCGCGGCGCCGAAGCCAAAAGAAGGAGCGGATGCTGCGGAGCTAGGGTTGGAGAAAGCAGGGGACGACGACGAGAATGTGCTGGAGAATGATAAACCCGAGCCGGCCATGGCGGTGGCGATAGAGGCGGCGGCGCGTTGAAATTAAGCAGATAAAACGGAGATGGGGCAATTCTCAGTTGGGGGGGAAAGGGTTTTTGGGAAATCTGTGATTGCAGTCCACTAGGCGAGGGCGGTTTTTCACTTGCTACCAGCGTTTGGATTTTTTTCGTGAATAATTGGCAAAAAGGTAGTTTTAAACGAGTTTTAAGGAAATGATAGACCCGTTTAGTTATTGAAACAAGTTCTACAACGAACCGAGTCGATTCGAGCCTTTACAAGTCGAAACATCTTATTTAGTTCAACAACTCAAATTATAAGTCGAAACATCTTATTTAGTTCAACAACTCAAATTATATGTATATTCGATAAGCTAAAATATAATGCATTTTGACAGTGTATTAAACTAACACGACTCATTTTGAAATGATGCATAATCAAAATTTCAAATGTTTAATATAAGTAATATTTAACATTAATTTTTTAATAATAAATCATCTATAACTAACTTATGGATCAACTATTATTTTATTTTCAAATAATAATTTCATCTTACCCTACATTAAGAATTTACTAAACGCAGTCTTAATATATTCAGATATCCTATTACATTGATTCATTTACTGTTAAACGAAACGAGTCGTTTAAGAGGTGGTTCGGCTTTGCTCGTTTGTTAAATTCAACAATCAAGCGCCAAACTGTTGATGCTTGAAATTGATCAACATAGGGTATTCGAAGAATAGTTTGTATATTGAATTGTTGTGTATGTTTTTGTAAATTGGATCAAAAAAATAAGAAAAGGATTTGAATTGTAAGTAAAGGTTGAAGAAAAAACTTATCCCTTTGTCCATCATAGGAGGATATTTATATACTTTTTTTGTCAACCGGATATTATTAAAGGCCGTGTTATTTTTTGGCTTTAACAATAAAATAAAATAAAACAATTAATTTAATATATATCTACGCGTAATATTTAAATAGTAGACAGTCTCATTTAGATAACAAGCCTGATTTGACTCATTAGACCTAAAAAATACTAAGCTCGAGCTCACTTATCCATGAATTTGAATGAACTTGTAATAATTATGGTGCAAGTCTTCAAAGACAAAAATTATGCATTAAGACTTGGGAAATTATTCACATTATTTGTAGCTCATATCATATGCTACAATAGTCTACAGCAAGCACAACAGGTGGTGCCATTTCTATATGAGATGATTACGCCTGCCACTTCTTTCGAAATATATTGAGTTTCTAAAGGCCCATCTAACAAGCGAGAGCTAATTCTTTGTTGGGCCTTGATACTGGGCTATTTACAGGACTGTGTGAAACATCAGGGGCCCAAAATCCATGAAATCCAAGAGGGAAATTCAAATGCCTGGGGACCTCAAACCTTGCTACTAAAGCATTGTTCCTCCCAATCATCTTGGAGTCAAGAACAACAAGATAGCACTTCTTGTTTGAAACTGCATACTGCAAATTTCAAGGCTTTGTTGTTATAAAATAACAATAATAAATATTAATAACAATTAAAGTACCAAAATAAAAATTTTACATATATTCGTATTTTAGGACAAATTAAATTGATCAAAAAGATTCATTTTTGGTATATATAACTCACTTCTACCACAAGGAGGTAACCATCATCTTCGTCTTTTTTGTCACGTTTCGCGATAAAAATTGGCTCGCCAATGAACTTTCTTCTACCGGTTGACCAAGTCAACGTGGACTTGTTTGTGGTGTTTAGCTTCACTACCGTGTCGAATGGGAAATGTGGCAACGCGCGTCGTGAGCCCGATGATGTGGCAGCGTAAACGAATTTGTTCTTCTTGCCGGAAAAATCTTGATTGATGACCGGAAAATCCGAAGGCTTTTTCCATTGGCTTAGATCATTAACTTGGCAATTTTTGCAGGCTCCATGGCTATCCAAGGTTATCTTCACCTGCATAATTAAATTTTGTTTTACACATGAGAAAGTATAATTTATTATGGTGTTGTAATTTTATAAGGAAAATAAAGAGGAAAAAAAAAAATTGGAAAAAGGGAAAAATTACCTGGATTAAGTGAGGGAGCAACTTTTCTTGGCCTTGTTCCAAATTCATCATTGAAGGGTCTAATTTACCACTTTGCCAATCATATCCTAGAAAAAAAAAAAAAAGAATAGTACAACAAAGTTGTAAACGAGTCAGGTGAAGCTCAAACTACTGATACTCAAGTTCAGGCTAACGATATAGCTCGACGCTAAGCTCAGTTTGAACCTTAACGAGCCGATATATGATAAAAGTTAAGAAAATTACATAATAAACCTTATTTATCAAGTCTAACGAGCCTAAACTAGCTGAGCTTACGAGTGACTTATTTTGTTTAACAGCTCTAAGCACAAGGACCATATAGATTATTTACCAAACATTTTTTGGAAATTGAACCACTGGTAAGAGCAGCTACTGGCTTGGATTTGAATCTCAAGATTGCCATCAACACCCCTTTCTTCAAAGGCATTTGCCATATGAAGTACCCACATTTGAGAAGGGGACTCAATTGGAATTTTCCAATCTCTCAAGGGCCTGTTTGGCTGTTCAGAATTATTAGGAAATCTTGGAAGCAAATAAATTGGGGTGGTGGATTTGCTTGGATTGAGTGACAATGCAGATATCATGGGTGATAAGCCACAAACTGCTGCCATTGAACCTGAAATTTGGACAAGTTTGAAAAATAAAATAAAATATTTGGAGTCGTCTTGGTTAGTCGAAAATTAACTGAAGAAGATGGAGGTTGTCAATTAGATGTTTGACCGTTAGATACACAATATTGTACATAGTAGTGTACATAATACTCACATTTATGTACTTTTAGCATTTTTCTAAACGAGCTATAGAACCTCTAATTTAATTATTCAGTATTTAGTGATTTGGTAACATTTTTGTTAAGCTCAATATATGAAATCTGTGGAATAAAAGAGTATTAAAAACTCAAATAGATGATTATTTACTATATACTTGGCATAATCAATAAATCAAAGTTGTTAATTCAATCAACTACCCACTAATAGCTAATTGAATCAGCTATCAGCTAAAACATAGTAATTATGTTATGCCAAAGTTTATGAATGAAAAAAAAAAAATGGTGAAATATTAATAAAATAAAGTTACCTGCAACATCTAGTTTGACTCTATTTCCAAACAATATGTAATGAGAATCTGTAAAAGCCCAGTCATGGATCATCAAGTGGTCTGGGATGCAGAAGTCTTGGCTTTGCAGCAGCTTGAAGTTGGAGTCGAATTCTTAAATAAAAA